CTTTTGATGCGGTACTTCTAAAATTTTCGACCAAGTAGATTTTTAAGCTGAGGTTAAGAAAAATTGTTGAATTTTTTATTGTATAAAAGAAATATAATTTTCACTTAATTTGACAGAAAATGGCAATCACAAGAAGAAATTTTTTTTTTTTTAATTTACCATTTTGTGCCCTAGAAAAGAAATACAGAAAATGGCAATCACAAGAAGAAATGATATTTTTTTAATTTACCATTTTGTGCCCTAGAAAAGAAATACGACTAAGACAAATATACGATTAAAAGACCTCCATCCACTTCCAAATAATAATCAATCAACTTGAGGTACGTGCAGTGTAAACAACTTAATGAATTTCGATGGTGCAAAATACTATTAATTTTTTTAGAGATGCATAATGTCAAAACAGTATAGTTTGTAGTTGCGGGATTAAACCAAATGTTTTATATAACAAAAGCTAATGTACTATGCAAAAGCTGATTTATAATGTTTTGGGGCACAATTCATAAATGATGTTATCGTCTATGTTAAGGGGTTATTGAGATGCTACGTAAGGTCATATACATCGGGTAATTTTTAACTATTGATGTGATTAAATAATCATCTACTAAATACACATATATATAAATGTGTGTGATTACGTGCAGATCAGTGATTTTTAATCACTCGTTGTATTTCACCGAATGTAACATCAAATAAACCAGCTAATTTTCCATCTACGTTTACAGTCCACGGTGCAATTTGATAGGTAATTATACAATGGTATATTTAGCTACAGTACGTAATTAAAGAATTCAAGATGAGATGAAATAACTAATAAGAACATAATAATTAGTAACTTTTTTTTCTTTTTACCCAACTTTACCTATGAAACGTCTTTCAAGAAAAAGACGCAGCATTTGTGCAAGTTGAAACAAAGAGCACAATTAAACACTTTATTCCTCTAAACAAAACTTTCGGTTTTGAATTCTTGGCAAATATTCTTATTCCTGTTGAGATAAATTAGACCACATTTCAATTCATACCATCACATTTATAATTCTTATATATATCAAGCATATTATCTTTTGGGCAAATTACGGTCACCCCTCATGTAAGCTCAAATTGCGAAAAAATCTCTCATATTTGAATAATTGCAATCACACCACCAACTATGTATTGTATTACTAAAAAAATCCCTCATTCAGTAGGTAAATTTGACACCGTCTGAGTGAACATGTGAGACAACACATAGTTGAGAAGTGGCTGTATTACACGAACGTAAGAGTTTTTCGTAATTTGATCGTACCTCAGGGGTGGCCGTAATTTGCCTCTTTTTTTTTAATCTCTTTTGATGCTATGCAAATACTCTCATTTTTCCAATGCCAGAATTCAACAACACTTCATTAGATGAGAGAATGCATGAGAAATTACTTTTATTTACAAGACTAATTAAACAACGTTAAAAAGAAAATGAAAAGCTTACATGAGAAGTTCGTTTTTACTGGTCAGACCAAAACCGATGGGAAAAAGAGGATCGTAAGAGTCATTATCTTCAACATGCATTGGGAGTTGTTCGACATTTTTAAACCAGGTCAACGGAAGTCTTCCTTGAAATTCATGATCTCCGAAAATAACATCGACAATTCCCCGACCGCCTTCACTACCAGGTAGCCATGCAGAAACAAGAGCTTCCGTTTTATCCAAAAGTTGTGGCTCTAAAAACAAAGGCCTACCAGATATCAAGATTGCTAATGTGGGGATTTGTTCGGCGACCATACTAATTAGTTCGGCTCCGTTGAAATGAATTGTTAGGTCTGTGCTGTCACCGCCAAATTCTACGTACGGACCTTCGCCCACAACTACAATGGCGAATGAATATTCTTTATCGGTTATGGTTCCTGCAGATGGGTTTTCGTCGTAGATCACTTCTGTTTCGTTCCCAACAACTTCTCTAATAGCATCCAAAATGGTATTGCCTATCGTGAAGTAGTGATTCTAAAGTTAAAGCTGCGAATTTGCCGTATCATTGAAAAATGAAATATGCAAAACTTCGAGATTATCTGAATCGAGCATTATGCTAAAAATTTGTGGATTGAAGCATGATAAGGCTTTGAAACAATTTTGAATTTTGAAGCAAATTCACAATATATATATATATATATATATATATATATATATATATATATATATATATATATATATATATATATATATATGCGTGCTGTTATTAAAAGTTGGGTAAATCAGGAGAAGATTACCAGTAGTGATTCTGCCAGATTTGCCCTCCCAAGTCATTGTCCATCCACCACACTGATAACCGAGATCATCGGCATGTCGTCCAGCAACAAATATTGTTTTAGCATTTCGATCAAGTGGAAGAAATGGTTTCTTTGGATCCTTCCCATTCTTTAAAAGAACTAATGACTTTCGAACTGCTTCACGTGCCAACTCTTTATGTTGCTGCCAACAACAATAATCCAAATATTACGAGTCTTCTTAGGCATCGTTTGGATGCCAAGATGGTACTAGCCAAAGATATGATTAAAAAACAATCCAATTGCTTTATTGAACCCCGGTAGGTCAAAAAAAAAGAAAAAAAGCTCCCTAAAAGGTATAATAAGGCATGATAACATAATATTTCCAAGTCGACCCAGGAAGTTATTGGGTTTAACAAAACATTAAACAAAGTCCAATTATTTAGTTAATCATGGCTAACCTCCCCAACCAAACAATGCCTTAAGGGATAAGTAATGCGTTAACTTACTCTGCTAACCACAACTACTAATCACAGTAGCAGGAAAAAGTTTATCCAAATATACACACAACTTTCCTTTTTCAAGATTAATACTATCTTCCATTGTCATAAAATTATGAAAGAATAATATTCTATGATACAAATAAGCTTATTTAAGATTAAAAAAAAAAGTCCTTTTTTCTTTTTTTGTTTAATTAAGAATGTGGGAATATAAGAATTACTAGCACATATTTCTTGTTTTCTAATTTGCATTTACCTTGTACTATTTACGTAAAATTATTGAGCATCGCATTACTTCACTACATTAACAACAAGTCAACTAACATGTGAGCTAGAATGGTCCTGTAGAAAACAAGGACGAATAATGATCCAAATCTAAGTATAAATCTAATCATGGTGTCACAGAGCCGAATTTGAGTATCGCCAAAGTGTCTTAGGATATATCAAGATTTTTTTATCTGATAAACTATTAAAGGTTTAATATTTATGATCATAATATTTTCAAAGAATGTAAACCGTAGGTCAACAAAATTTTCCGACATTGATAAGCAGTTCAAATAGCTAACCTCACATCTAACTGTACCCAACAAAGATCGGTCGCTGAACGGATGTTCAAAGAGGCCAGACGCAAATTTTACTCTCAGAATTCTTTCAACTGCATCATCAATTCTCTTCATTGCTATTTTTCCTGCCTCCACCAAATGCATTAAGTCTCCTATAAATAGTTCAAATCGAAAAGGCACCATTACCTGGTGCGACATTAGTACATATTACTTTCCGGAATATAAAAGCTTGAAAAAATCAAAAAAGAAAAAAGAAAAAAAAGATAATCTTTACCAAATCAATTCCTGCATTAATTGCTGATAGAACACTCTGCTGGTAATTAGATCCATGAGGGCTAGAAAGCCTATCAAGTCCTTCAGAGTCAGAAATGATAAATCCCTGCACAAAAATCCCGCGTTCAGAAGCATGATTTCTGCTACCAAAAAAAAAAAAGAAAAGAAAAAAAAAAAGAAACAGATGATAAAGAAAATAAATAAGAATGCATTGCCGGTATTGGTATTCACCGGATTAGTTTACCTTGAATCCAAGTTTATTTTTCAAGATCTCTGTAAGAAGAAAATGAGAATCGTGTAATTTGGTCCCGTTCCAGCTTGAGTAGGATGCCATGATAGTACATACTCCCCGAGAAATGCAGTCGAAGAAAGGAGCCATGTGAAGTTTCTCTAGCTCATCATACGATGACACAGTATCTCCCTCGTTTATACCATTCTTTGTGCCACCATCGCCTACAAAATGCTTTGCACATGCAACAACGTTTTCTCTGAATTTAAAAAAATCTAATTAGCTAAGCACGTAGACAAAAGAAACATAGATACAAAATGCATGAAAAGAAATTCAAGGAAGAGAAAGAAGATCCAGATAAAGTAACTTTCAAGAACTATCGATAACGAACACAAGTCATGAACAGCATCCCAAGTTTTTAATATGGCCTCAGAAAGGTATGGAGGTGCTAAATCTCGTTTCAATTTTGTTGGTACTGTTTCGACATCAAATGTGATTTTGACCATTTTTCAGTCCGAATTTGGCAAAAGCTTAGAGCAACAAATTTTAGTCCTTTGAGTTGGCTTTCTAATTGAACTTGAATCAGCTAGATTGAATGTCGGGAGAGAGAGTTATGCATGAATGAATGAAAACTTCCCTAACCCTAATAAGCCTACTTCAAACGTGATTTTGATCATCTTACAGTCCGAATCTAGCCCTTTGAATTGGCTTTGAACCCGACTTGGATCGGATCAGCTAATTGGTGGTGGGATGAAAAAGTTATGCATAATCTTAGATTAATATACCGATAAAATAAAAACAATATTTAGCACTACAGGAAAGGTATAAGCATATTTCCTTCACGGCGAATAAAATGGAATCAAATGATCTTCTTTTCTTTCATAGATCAAAAGTGATTTCTTGGTTTCTGATGTAGTACGAAGTTGAGACGGAAGATGAAGAAGTACAAGCTCTAAAAGTCTAACATTAATGGTTAAAGAGATGTTTAATATCAACCTAACACCATTATTTGATGGAATCAACTTTCTAATACCAGAAAGTAAGTGCAAAAGACGTGTGAAATCAATCGTGCAGAACCATTTGTTTTTAAAAAATTTGTACCTTCCAGCAAGAAATGGGTGACCGACGGGGTGTCCCTCGGGCGGTTGTCCCTGTAAGCCAGTAACCATAGAAGTCATCATCTTAACAATGTGAGGGTCTTCACCAAAACTCTCATAGCATCTTCCCCATCTCGGATCTCTACACACCTGTTCGAATCATTATACTTAACAACGAGGTCCACTAATTAACAATGATTAAGACATAACAAATTAACCAGATAAAACGTACACCAGAACCCAAGAAAAACAACAACAACTAAGAAGGCAAGTCATTTGTTAACCAGCCACACAACAAACAAAATCTTCAGTATGCTAGAATTTTAATGTTATCTTTAATTTATTCTTAATATTCTGAGTTATCGCATTTTTGGGCAGTGGACATGTACTCCAAAACATACTCAAATTAAATCAGGTTTCGTTTTTTTCGGAGCACTACAAATTTATAAATGTATAGCTTTTTTTTTCTTCTTCGTAATTCAAATCATGATACAAATCGGGAAAGCTTAGTGAGGACTAAATTGACAACAATAAAATAAGACGAGAAATAATGCTAATTGTTCGCAAAACGTACAGCAATACATGGAGCAAAAGTATAGTGAATCCCGCATGCTCTAACTTCAAGAGCTGTTGCAGCACCAATCCTCCGAATCAAGTCAGCATCTCTAAAAACCGCATAATCACATTGCTCGTATTAAAATAGCAATCAGTATTTAAATTGCAATTAAGCATTTAATTAATTCAATCAAATTTAAAACCTGGTGGCTCCAAGGCCTACGTTGTGAGGAAAAATGGTTGCACCATAAACATTGTTATTACCATGAACAGCATCAGTTCCATACAGCACCGGAATTCCGAGCCTCGATTCGAGTGCCGCTTTCTGGAAGCTATCCACCATTGCCGCCCAATCAGCAGACTCTGCATTCTCAAACGGCCCGCTCCCACCAACACTCAGTATGCTACCTGCATCATCCAAAATAAAATAATGCAATTAAATTCTGAAATTTGGGGATGTTGAAAAAATAATTCAAAATTCATCATTTAAACCCTAGAATTTGAGCAGCATGAAAATTGAAAATAGTATTAGCGTTATTAGTATGTGAGAAACTGACCTATAGAGAGGTTTTTAATGGCGGAAGGGGTGGCGACGGTGCGCTCGATCTGTGTCATTTGGCCGATTTTCTCTGCAAGGCTCATCTGAGAGATGAGATCTTTGAGCCTGGCATCAATGGCGGCATTCGGATCTTTGTAGATGCATTTCATCATGGCTTTAGATTTTGTATTATTGCATAAATTGAAGTTTGCAACTGAATCAAAATGGGTAGCAAACAAGAAGAAGAAATTGAAAAGGGGTAAGTACATATAAATCCCCACATACAAACTTAAAGTGCGGATACGTTTTATAGACGTAACAGTCCCTAATGCAAAGTTTCACATGCAGTTTAGTCCCTAGAGGCAAGTGAAAATTCTAAAATACCCTTTACTTTAATATGAAATTACATACTTTTTCATTTTCTCTCTCCTACTTTTCTCTTTCTTCTCCGTTTCCTCTTTCCTCTTTTTCTATGTCTCTTCTCTCTCCTTTTCTTGCCCGTTCCAATTCAATTTATGTTATTTTTCTTCAAACAACAAACGAAAATGAACACGAAAATGCGCAAGAAAACAAACTCCTAAATCAATACAAATGAAGCAACAAGAACAAAGAAAAGGAAGAACCAATGTAGTAGAAGAAGAAAAAAACAAAAAGAAAAGAGGAAAGAGACCCATTTTCGAAGAATGGTGAAGGAGAAGAAATAAGATTTGACTTGTTTCCCCTAATCATTAACTCGGTTCCAACATCTGTTATTTTGTTGTTCGAGTTTGTAAAGATCATTTATCTATATAATATATAAATTGAAACCCTCATAGCTTAAGAAATCGACATGTGGCATATCTATGTGGCATCCTACTCATATCTTACGTGGAATTAATTATTCCATATACTTTATAAACATACAAAGTCCTCATTAATTGTAAATCTTCATTATTTGGTAACATTTTTAATACATATTTCCAAAATTACTAAAAAATTAAAACATTTCCTTATAAAATTTGCCATAATTTAGAAACTAATATTATGGCAATATAATTAGTTAGTTTAATATAATTCGTTACATTAATATTTTCTAATCTTTTTAAATTTACAAATTATAAATATTTTTCAACTAATTATAATATGGAGTACGAAATATTGTAA